GCTCCAGGAGATTCACCTTCTATTCCACTCACACAAGCACAGGCTCCTGGAGGTTCACCTTCTATGTCCACTCAAACAAACATAGACTTCAGAGATTTACTTTCAACATTTTCCTGTACAAGACTCTTGAAAATTCATCAATCATACACAAACTGTATGGAATTCATTTTCAATATTCACACACAAACAGTCTATGAAATTCACTTCCATTATCCTATACAAACTCTCCAGAGATTTACTTTCAATATCCTCCCGTACAAAACACTCTGAGGCCCTCATCCCCCAGCAGCCTAAGTGCCTTGATCTGCAAAATCACGTTTGACAAATACAGAGGTAAGTCTAGATGGTTTGCAACTTGATAAATAGAGAATCTCACCCAAGTGTCTTTATCAGTGAGTGTTGATATATTTGATATCAGAAGACACGAGGGTGAGATTCTATTTATCATCCAAAATCACTCTTCATTAATTTTCAATGAAAAATGTACATCTCTGAACATGGTACTGCCATTAGACTTGCAGTGCAGCGATGTCATAGCATTGTGACGTCATCAAGTACATGACGTCATAGCATTGTCAGGGCATTGTACAAAATCTACTGTCAAAACGATATCTCCTAGGAGATATCGTTTGATCTCACACATGCGATATCTCCTGTGGAACACAGTTTTGGATGATAAAGATCAATACCAGTCTATAGTACAACAAAACAACTGATTAAACATGTTAAATGTGCCTCCAATTTGCCAAAATACAACCTTCAGAATCTGACACTTTACTGATTAAGATTCTCACAACCACAGATTTTACAATGAATTCTCATGTACCATAATTGTGTTTTTATACTGCTATGTATAACCATTGTACCACACACAGTCTCCTATCACAGCCAACACATGCCTATTAGTACACACTATACAGAACTTCAGTTTGCAAAAACAAATGGCACTAAAATAGCACTTACAACACAAATGTTCAACCTTTACTGCATACAGATTTCTTGTATTACGTTGTGCTAAGAGTGTGTATGACATCACATATCCATGTTGATCACTAACACAAGTAAGTCCAGGAATGTTGAGTGCAATGTACAGAAGCACAAAGGTTGTAAGGAACCTTGGTCTTTCTTGTCTTGGTAATAACATCCAATAACGGACTACGTAAATCTCCAGATCAGTTGACAAAATATTAGCACTAAAGAGCTTTTATAAAAAGAACAACTTCATAAGTGTTAAAAACTCATAAATTAAAATAAGTTGTTTAATTCACCATGTCTGTGGCCGATTCTTAAATGACGACAACAGACTGTGGGAACTGCCTATAACTAATTATACTACAGTATATAACCTCTCCAAGGGCTCACACAAGGGTTTGACACTTAACATACCACACCCTCCACCCAAATTATCAGTAATTATATTGTACAGTGAAGACACCTTATTAACATTAACACCAATAATAAAGACTGTTTCTCTTGTGGAGGAGGACAACATGTTCTTATTCTTATCAAGTCATGACCTGTCTCTAAGCTGAAGAGACCTATGTAGAGTCAGTACTCTGAATACTGTACACGTTTGGCCACCGGTATCCCCCTATATCGCTTCCTACACAATACTACGTCATGGCGCATGCTGTTTAAAAGGTTGTCCAATCATCTTGCCTGCCCAGTAAACCGGTTGTGCATTCCATTTTTTCGTTTTAACCATGCGTTTAGTCAAAGGAAGCTACCCTTGGTCATTTAAATTAGTAGAGATTGACTTTAATACTGTACGCTATTTCTTCCAATATCGTACACGTATTGTAATTCCGTACACTATCTGAAAGACACTTCCGCTGCTGTTAGTTCTTTAGACAATTTGTATTTACTGGCTAATTATAAATTTGGAATAATGAACGGGGGTAACTCAGGTTCAAAAACTATATTCATATACACTCCTTTATACCACCAAATTATTAGGGCAGTATTCTTACATTTTGTGTTTCTCATCCCCCGACCGACCCTTCTAATTTTATTTGTAAAAAAAACCCCTCAAGGTTGCATGGGCTAATATCAACAATAAATACTTTTCTGACAATAAGTGACTACTTCAAAATGGACTTCAACAACGGCCATATAAACTATTATTCTATTATATGTCTACATGTAATATTCAATTGTTTATCAGTGCCTATGCAAATGTTTCATATGAGTAAATATGACATGGGAAAAAATAAAATGTCACAGTACGAAATAAGGAGCATAGCAAAAATATATAATAATTTGGGCATCAAATATCGTACGTTTTGTTACTTTTGACAGTAACCTGTATGAAACCGGTCACTGTGTTTGAAGATTACATTTTTGGTCAGATCAAATACATTATTTCGGGTTTCCGTACCGTGAGTGATGTTTAAATTTCCTGCTTTTAGGTGTAGCGCGCAGAGAGTCTCGGATAGTGACCTTGACGTCAACCCGGCAACAAGTGGAGAGAGTGGCTATTATGCAAGAAGTGCACAACGCGATAACCAATTGTATCTCGAAAGAGAAAGCGCATGACAAATACACACGATAGCTAAAAATAGAGTTGGGAATTACCGCATTTCAAGCGACAATGGTAAGGTGATGCCACAGCGCAAACATAATAAGCTATTGCTCACAAATCAAAGTGTACGGAACTCAAGAGCCTGTACGGTATTCGGAGTACTGACTCTAAATACTGATAGTTATCTGAGGTTGGACTGAAAAGTGATGAATAAGGAAGGAATATGCAGGGTATAAGCTTTCGCTTAGAGTCAACTATTATTTTAACAAAATGGTGTTTGCCTGTACTTCAGCAAAATGACATCAAGCTGTTTTGAGTTTTAAACTCTAAACGACACTTACAAAAAATGATAACTTTATGTCCACAAAACATGCTTATGTGTTTGCTGTATCTGTCCAAATGAAACAGAACAGAGGATAGACTTATCTACTTCACAATAACTATTCTGTGGCCATATACGTATCAACTTGATTCGGTCTACATTGAACAATAGGGTTTATGGCAATATTGGTTATGTAAGAGTTGCTTCATGCTAGTGAACAAACAGCTTGGGACCCATTGTCCTTGTTCCCAAAGTAGTCCTCTTATAATCAACAAAATTACAATAATTCTCTTATCATTAGTTTGACATACCTTTTCCCTTCAGAAACATGATGAAACCAGATCATTCTCATTTTGCAACAGCTCCAAAATGTCAAATGTTATGTCAGTTATCATGAACATGTTTATTTTTGTTTAGTTATAAATACCATTTTCAAGAAGTTTTAATACACAATTTCTGAATCTGACTTGTGAAGTGACAAACAGTGATGACTGATCCTGCCCTCTCAGAGCAAGGAGAGATACATTTTATCACCTGTTACAAATTCTGTTTATTTTGTCTGGATACTTTTGAAAACTAACTGATACATTTCCATAATCAAATTTGTGTTCACTTGGCCTAAATACATGTTTGACCTGTTTTGAAAATCAATCAAACTGTGAAATAATTCCTGTAATCCCCTTGACAATCTTCTATATGGAACAATGGCTGACCAATATGTTATGTAAACATGTGAATAAAGCCAGGTCAGGCAGTACGAGGAATGTTTTAAGTAGAAAGCACAGATCATCATAGCCATGATAACTGATGTACAGCATCAGCAGGTGTAGTAGCATGATTAGACTCAGATCTCATGGATCTCCATCTTATTCACAGGTTTCACTACTTTCAGGTATTACAAACGCAACATCACATTTAACAAACACAAAGCATGCACTCAATAATTTCCAAGCAATTAAACAATCTGGAAAATCTTAACATTCTTAAAGAATCTCAAAAATTGCATTTCATTCATTGCATTTTCAAACATATATATGTCAGGGTAGAGACTGCGATCTGGTAGAATCGGAGATTCTACCAGTTGAGATTGCGATCGGAGTCTCTACCAGTAGAGATTGCGATCGGAGTCTCTACTGGTAGAATCTCCGATCCTACTAGTAGAGATTGCAATCGTAGTCTCTACTGGTAGAGACTACGATTATATGGAATAACCTATGCAAGCAAGTATAATAAGTGGGGATAATGTTTTCCTATTATTTGCCAGTTATAATTGAACTTATTTATTGTTATCTTGTTAACTTTATTTGTTAAGTCTGTTTGAGAGTAAGGTATTTTGTTTTTGTTTTTTGAGTGGAGTCCAAATTTGGCAGCTTGGTCTCATGATGTTACAAACCATTTTTATTGTTTATTTTGATATTGTTTACAGTGAGGTGTTAAATGTTTGTTATCTAAGTCTCAGTTAAAAGTAGGAAGTTCATTCAGATGTATTTCAAAACTTATGATCAGTAATTGTTATAAAAAAACTGCTTTCCAAAGAGGTGGGGAAATGACCAGGTGGGGATATGGCAGATGGGGTAATGTCCTGGTGGGGAATTGCCCTACAGCTTTCCTCCAAAAATGCCGACATGCCAAGACACCTATAGCTTAAAACAACAAACCAATTCTGTATTTCCTGGAGCAGTGTTACAATAAGTGTTATATCTGAATAAAATGCATAGTACTGTTCAGAAAAAGTGTCTTTGTTGTTTACCCAAAGATCACTTGGAGTTTCTACCAGTTGAAGACGATTGCAGCCTCTACTAGTAGGATCGGAGTTTCTACCAGTTGAATTGGAAAATGTACTGGTAGAATCTCCGATTCAACCAGTAGAGACTACGATTACAATCTCTACTAGTACGATTCTGCCAGATCGCAGTCTCTACCCTGACATATACTTGCATTGGGATATGTGCATTTGATGATGTACGAGAGCAACAGCCATATAGAAAAATGAGGTTATACATCTGCATGTTCCAGTCGGGATTTGTTTAACATATGAACACATGTACATAACTTAGTATGTGTAACAAAACACATATGTTACAGAAATACATTTTCAGTGTGTTTCTTTTAGTGGAGTTCTCCAAACCAACTGCTTAGAACAAACCAAAACACAAATGATAACAATGAATTTTTTTGCAAGTTCATCAAAGTTAAATTTAGTTAGAAACACTAATGTGTCTTTATGAAGAATTCACAAAGATGGGAAAAACAAACAATAAAAGGCATACGAGTGCAGCCACCATTACAAAAACTCAACAACAGCATGCCCAGCATGAATGGAAAACCTCTTCTCTCTGCAAAATATCCTGAAAAAAACAAATAAAAAGAATCAGAATCAAATCCATTTACAGGTAATCAGCATGTATCCAAGAAACATGAGTGAAAAGTGGAACAGTAAATGTTTTGCAAAGCATTTAAGAACAATACATTAGGCCACATAAAATATGTTGTGGTTCCAATTACGCCTCTTTAAAATCTAGGGTAGGTAGGCAGGTAAGATTTTTTAAAACATTTTTTTAGAAGTAAAGTACAAACTAATAACACATTTATCAATGTGTATTGTTTATTCAATCAAGCTTGCAGCCATCATGTCGACTTTCTCTATCAGAAAGACCAATGTGCTGGGGAAAGAACAATTTTATTTCATTTGATACTGCTTTAAGAAAATAGGGTTGGCACCAGAATTCAAGGGTAGGTCGGGTAATCGCAACCACAACATATTTTTTTTAGGCCTGGTTGCAAGACTGCACCTTGTGCTGACTGGCTTTCTCAAGTGATTGTCTCAGGTAGCTGATATGTACTAAAACATACAGACTTATTTGTTTGAATGGTTTTGCAGTGATTCATGTGATAATCTCTTGACATGGTAACTGTAGTAAGTTAAGTACACACCTGTGCAGTTGACTCTATGTCATGACCAAGAGTGAAGATCTCCAGTGTCCCCCTGACATGACTGTGGGGCCTTCAACATGCTAGCATGCAAAATATGGTGCTGCTCTGGCTGCACACGATGCACCACCAAAACATACAGGTAGTTACACAACCTCAGTCCTTCACTGAAGAAAGTAAAACGGAAGCTGGATGTTGGTTCCACTCTCAGTAAGTTGACCACAATACCTATGAAAGCATCCTCATTAGGAATGGCTTTAATATACTGACTCTCCACAACAACTCTGTCCACCACATCCCGAGACAACACATAGCCTGTCCCACTAGCATAAGGGGGGTAATGGTCAGGAGAATAGTCAGACTTGGAAACTGACCACTTGCTACTCACACTGCGTACCACCTTCCTTTTTTGTAGTTTGTGAAAAATATTGCCCACATACAGATTTGTTTTGATGGTGTTACTATGCTGAAGGAAGTCATACAACTGTAGCGTGTTAACAAAACAGTCATCATCTGTCTTAAGTGTGTACTGTGTAGGACATAGCCTGCTGACCCAGTTAAGTCCATGCAGCACCTTCAGTGTAAGATTGCGATATGAATCTATGTATGTTCCCCTGAGAATGTCCTGGAAGTTGTCAGCCTCTTCTTCTACTGCAGAATCAATGTAAGAGAGGGATGTCTGGCCTATCAGAAACACACACTGCCATTCCCCCTTCTGGTATCCTGTTGCTGATGCATTACACCATGTCTGGCGAATCTGACTCCTCTGATCCAAGTGATCTGGTGATGATGTGATGATGATAGTCAATAGTGATGTGTTCCTCTGACACTTTGGACTGGTACTGAACACATCATAAAAGTTTGAAGGAATTCCACAACACCTTTCTGTGAGAGTTACTACCTGTATGGAAATGGAGAGTATTTTCATTCCCCGCCACCTTCTTCCACATTATGTAGTCTATAGTTTCCTGAGGTTTTGGACTGATATTTGACTTTGTGATTGCTATGAGTATTTTTGTGAGGAATCTCTAGTGGTAGATGAGCCTGACTTTCGCTAGACGCAGCCATCTTCAAATGTCTGTCCACATAGGTGAGTAGAAATGTGTACAGCAGAATAAATGCTAGCACAATGATTATAACAGTGTATACACTGGCCTGCAAAATAACCTTTGCAGACAGGCGACGAGGCTTCATTGCATTCAAGACAACCACTTGGATGAGAACTTGTGAGCTGGACCTCTCATCCACCTTCTTTACCAAGTTGTGGTACCAGTCTCGTGCACCTTCCAGTACCATGTTGACAACATTTAGGGCCCAGTTAGCATCTGAAACAACATATCAGTAATCTCTTATAATCTAGTCAGCTGAACAAAAATATTGCATGTATATCATGGCAGTGTTTATGCAGGAGCCACAACTTTTGTTGCCACACACTTATATTAGATTCAACTTTAAGCCATTTTCACAACATGCCATCATTATTTCCAGTTGCTGATCATGATGCATGTAGCAAACATTACTGATACAAAGTATTATTTATACAATCATTTGTTCTCCTTGGACCTTTTTCTGAGAAACAGATGTTAAACTGACTGACTGAGTTTAGTTTTATTTTAGCAATATTCCAGCAATATCATTTGTCCTCTTAACACATTGTGCCCATGTGGGGAATCGAACCCGGTCTTCGCGCGTGAAGGGCCAACGCTTTAACCACTAGGCTACCCCACCACCCCGGATGTTAAAAGATTATACCAGGTTTGATGTGGCTTATGTATTAGCTTGCAGCCTTGTTGTATCGCAGTACTTGATATATCCGTGATCGGAAATTAAATTGTGAACTAATAAGGCCTATTTTATTATGAAATCTGATCAACATGACATTTATTGATTTAATCAACCTATATGTGAAAAAAGTATTATTCTAACTTTGATAGTTTTTCAACGAAAGTCATAAGATGAACAAAGCTGATTATTCTTAACCAAGGGAGAGAACTCCATCGTAACGCAGTATTGCTATTTTCTTAATATGGCACGCTAGAGCTGTGTATCGTGGCCTAAGTGGCGAGACGATATATCCCGATACTAGTTTAATGAGGCGAGATGATATATCATGAAAGTATTGGCAAGGAACCTGCGAGACGATTATCATCACGATACAGTGATGGCGATATGATACTTATCCCGATACTTTACAATCCTAAAAACAGGACATATATGATAGATAAAATGACCGAATGACACACACTTAAAAGGCTGTTCATGTAATAAAGTTTCAGCATTTAATGCTTAAGAAAGTACAATCAAACATATTCAGTATGTCTTGCTCTAGGTTTCCCTTGGAAAGTTGTGTTTCTGCACCAATGCTTGCACAGGCAATGTATGCAGTAATTTATACCAGAATCACTGCAAAAAACTCATAAGTATGCTTTCTAAATTTTATCTTCTCTTTCTTAACAAAGCTAAGACATTGTTCATAGTTGTTAATAAATGGTGTTTTTTGTCAAACAACTAAAACATGTTTCAATTACTTAAAGACAAGTCTTTACAGTTCACAGAGATTGTTCACATGCTTTCACTGATACACTAACTCCTTTGTTCATGTAACAAAGATGGCAGACACAAACAAATTCCTTTAAGGTTCAGTTTGTTTTTAAAATTCAGAAAAATTTCAAAGAGACTCCCTTCCTATTACTTATGCAATACTCCCTACAACTTTAAGTAATATTTAAGTTGTATCGGGATATATCGTCTCTTGTGGCGATACATCGATGTATCATGGACCCTCGCGATATAAATATCCTGATATATTGCCTAAACGTGTTTTGTATCGATGCACTCGTATCGCGTAGTTGACGATGCAAACATCGATACTATCGATGAATCGTTACACCACTATGGCACGCAGTACAAGCAAATGACACTAACAAACATTGACTTAAGACAAGTAACGGATCTAAATAGTTTTTATATTAAAATTTATTTAGGGATTTTGTTAAGATTGGTAATATCATCATGTTTTTAACCAAAGCTTAGCAATGACGAAACGAAATCAGTTTTCGCCGCCTTAAACGTGCCATACAATTTGCTGCTGTGTGCAGGGTGAATTTGCACATTACGCCACTTCCTGATATAGTTTAGGACAGAAAATATGCAAATTACTTTATAGTTGTCGCAGGATTACCCTTGGCAAAGTATTTTTGTATTCGTGCAAGATGCATTGGCGGCAGGGGTCATACTAGTTTCAAAATGTTCCAGAGTGAGTGAGTGAGTTTAGTTTTATGCCACACTCAGCAATATTCCAGCTATATGGCGGCAAAATGTTCAAGTAGTTACTGCAAAGATGAATACTTCTATGATTAGACATAACATTCCAATGAAATTAATGACTCTTTCTGGGATTGGGATAGAGAACTTTGACAATGGGCCCATTTTCAGGATTATTAGCCATTTTCTGAATTTAGAATGGGCCCAAACCCTAATAGTAAATCAAATAGTAAACTTCAAAAGTTTAATGGTGAAAAATGGCCCATGGCCCTTGCCTTTCCCAATCCCTGCTCTTTCATGAGCGAAGCTATTTTTTTAACTGTTAACGTAATTTGCATATGTAAGCAGCCGATGCGTGGCATGGTGTTTCTGCTTTTCCGACATTTTCACATGCAGTGAATCAATGAATGCCGCGATACAATGAGGTCAGAGTATACATGGTATGTAGCATGGAGTGCAGTAAACAGGTGGCAATGCAACAGAGGAACAATGGTCATCTGAGTACTATGTTTCTTTGCTCAACATAGTACACAGGTTGAAATGAAATTTTACCAACACTGACATTATTCTTGCATTGGAGGTGTACATTTCATGAAACTACTCAGATTAAGCAACAACTCTTTCAACTAATATTAAGGACGGTTGTTTAATTGGCAATGGGGGAATCCAAACACTAAGGATCTTTTGGGGTGTTTGATCTTAAGAAGATCCACTTATCTTAGGACAGTTTTAACCTAACCTTTCCCCAACTATCTAAGTCCTAAGCAAGATTAATGAAACTACAGCACTACATGCTTCCCCATGGAAAGGAGCAGTCTTCAAAGTAGTCACAGGTTCAAAGGCAATATACCTGGATTTATCTTATTAGTGAGTGAGTGAATTTGGCTTCCCAGAAATGGGCTTCACACATTGTACCCATGTAGGGATAGATTTATCTTATGACAATAACAATACTGTCAATAGTAAGTATTGCAAGTGAGTCCTGTGTTATGAATTGTTTTTCTACGTTTGATATATTTACTTAAAATTCAGAACAAATAACGTTAACTAATAACATTCCACATGATAACATAAGAGAAAACCTTCAGAATAACACATAATATAATTTGCAAACCGCAAACGTGAATCGTGACCTACTTAGACTGTATTCTGCCGTTTATCCAAGTGATCGCTAAACTCTGGTTGTCTCGGGGCGTGATGATATGAGCTTCGTCTGGCTGTGAATAACTCGCGTTATCCACAGCCAGTAAAAGAAATCCACATTTTGTCTTACAGCATCCAACTGAGACCAAATAACAATACGCCACATAACACCCAGTCACCTTTACATCAATCCCACAATTCCGTGTGGAGGTGTGTGTTCAGGTCAAGGACGATTGAGGTCACGGGTGAGTCTAAAATCCAAAGCTTGTCGCAGCAAGCGCCAACCGGCGAAGGCGACCTCAAAAGCACCAAACTCAACAACAACAGCAAGCTACTTTCCGCATTTGTAAAAGCGGTTTAGGAATCACTAAGTACAGCTGATTGTGGAATTTGTTATGTCATCAAAGCCATTACCTTACGAGGCTTATATTTACACAATAATAGCACTTATGACAATTATGAGTGCTGAACCCTAACGGATTATGCACCAGTAAAATATGCATGCCTTTGGTCATGATAAATTTACGTTACAAGCACAATATATGTGAGACATTTATAGCTTTTAAAAAACATATATATATTAGTTTCCATTTATAATTCATTTAGTCCTAAATATTACGAAACCAAGCTTGGTCATATTTAACCTGCTCCCTCGACCGTGACGGGGACTGGGCTACTGTCCACCTTGGCAGAATTTCTTCGGTGATCGGAAAAAAAGTAACAGCAAAAAAAGTAACAGATTTTGCTAGGAAAAAAAGAAACACTTTTTCAGTTGTTTGTGTTTTATTTATTAACAAAGTATAACAAAACAATTACAAACACATTTTTTGCATCCATAAGCAATGTTCTCAGTTCTAACTAAATGTTCTTATTGAGTCTAATGTTCTGGCGAACCCCAGGAATTCGGAGATGGACAGGCTGCCGGCTGCATAGTGTGCACACAAGGTCTTTGGTCTACGCTGGAGTGACTCCATATTCTTCTTTCTCCTTGTTTGGGGCATAACCCCAAGGGTTAAAATCAGGGACAACAATCTCAACATTCAACTCATTCAGTTTATCTACAATTGCCTGAAACAATATCTGGGCTACTGTCCACACTGGCAGAATGTCTTCAACCTAAACAGTGGGACATTAGGAAGGGTGGGTGCCCATCACATGCCGTTATATGAAAATATCCCCGGTAGTTCTTGTCTAATTGTAATAAAGTAGACCAGCAATGTAGGCTTTTCGGATTTTGTAATGCCTGGTGAGGTGAGGTGAAATTGGGTTTAACGTCGTGCTTGAGAATATTTCGCTCATATGACGACGTGCATGCGTGTGTATGTGTATGTGTGGCTGCTTGTACTAGCCCAGACTTTAAGCTGGTTTTATAGTGCTGGCCCACTGAGATACCATGCCGCAGTGAAGCATGAATACCCCACCCAGACACATTATACTGACTACGAGCCGACCAGTCCTTGTTGTACCCATTAATGCCGAGCGCCAGGCAGGGGCCATCAAGAACCATTTTTTTTAGTCTTTTGGTATGACGTGGTCGGGGATCGAACCCGCGACCTTCCGCTCTCCGGGCGGACGCTTTAACCACTACACCACGGAGGCGGTCTGTGATGCCTGGATGGTATAGTGACTGATCCAATTTGATCCTATTTCTGTGTTTTTACCTCGATATTTAATCATGTCAGGTAAAAATATGATGTCTCTTATCTATGATATTAAAAACACACATGTGATCTATTTGAATCCGTAAACTAAACAACCCCACTTTGCCACTGCTAGAAAAATCTGAAAAATTACTTAGGTAAATAGGTATATACAGTTTTTAACTTTAGTAAACAGCAAATGCTTATACGTATATGTATTTCTTATGCAGCGAAGAAGTTCCGTTCGTATCCTCAAAACAGTGTCGGCCCATAATTTATTCAGGCAACTGTAATTGCATGTGATATAGCGATTACTACTCCCTTGTTGTAACCCATGTTAGGTGGTATAAACCTACACATGGTATTTGTCATCATTCACTTGATGGTCAGTTAATGAATTTACGGTACCGAATTTATAACAGGTATAATTAGTGGTAACACAGACTACCCGACAAAGGTTCCCATTTGGCATTTCCCGTGTCTGGAGTAAATACTCAACATTATATATTAAGGTCTGATGTGGCACATGTATTACATCTTAGGTAATATGCGCATGGAAGTGCAGCAAGAGGAATTATCAGCTGAGTTACAAAACAAACATGGATCAAAGGATTAACCGATAACACGCTGATTGATTAATTGCGTTTATCTTGCACAGCGGATTTGTCAAAAGGTATTTATGTATGTAGTTTTACTAATCTATACACCCGTGAAGGTCAGGGTTAGAATATTGATCTTCAGTAACCCATGCTTGTCGTAAGAGGCGACTAACGGGATCGGGTGGTCAGGCTCGCTGACTTGGTTGACATATGTCATCGGTTCCCAATTGCGCAGATCGATGCTCATGATGTTGATCACTTGATTGTCTGGTCCAGACTCGATTATTTACAGACCGGCGCCATATAGCGGGAATATTGCTGAGTGCGGCGTAAAACTAAACTCACTCACTAACTACTGTTCTATACTGAATACACCCTGTCGAAAAGTGCCTGTGTAAAAACAACACCCTTCCTTCAATGGATTAACCGTCAATACGTTGATTGCTCATTATTGGCAAATTAAGTCACACCATGCAATTAGTTGCCAGGTGAGCTATCTTGGCTGACTATACACCAATGTGAAAAACCTGAAGCAGTCACGTGATCAGTTGAGAAACTACCATTAGTTAAAACGATATATCACTTTTTCACACTTTAGATTGTTGAAAGACACGTGACATGGAACGGGATTCTTTGTCAGTTGCAGGTCATTAACGACTGTGCTAAAAAGTTGCACCAATGGTGAATTGTCTAAGAAGTCTCAAATATCGTCACCGACAAAACATTAGAAACCATGTGCAAACAGTTCATATTACCAGTATTTGATTATTGCAGTCATATATGGGATAATTGTACTACACAGCAAGCAGATGTACTTAAAAAGCTCAATCTTGATGCCTTTAGAACCGTGTGTGGTGCTGTTCGTGGTACCAGCCATCATCAAATAAACAAAGAAACTAATTGTCACATGATGTGTCATAAACGATACGTTCTATAAATGGTCAATAATACTATGTTTTACAAAATGGACACTAAGCGATTAAAGAAAGCTTGGGGAATGTTGTTCCATTTCTGAACCAACGCTTGTCCCAATTCAGCTAACGTCGATGGCTGATTCTGGGCTTGATGTAAACGTCTCTCCATTTCATCCCAAGCCTGCTCGATAAGGGACAGGTCCGGAGAAACAGCTGGCCAGGGGTATACCGGTATGCTCTGTTGTCTCAGGAAATCTGTCACAACACGATCGCCATGTGGACGGGCATTATCTTGCTGAAGCGTGAAGTTACGTCTCTGTCCCTGAATGAACGGCTGCACATGTGGCCCAAGGATCTCATCCCTGTATCGCAGACCTGTCGTAAGGGAACAAAACACCATTCCAATCTTGTCTCCTGTACCGTAGATGCTCTGAACCAGGGGAGACGCGTGCCTGTCGGTGACGTTAGAGCAAAATTGGAATGTATTGCAGGCCGTCGGACCGGATGTTGTGCTCCCTCAGTGGGTTTCATACAGTCCTGGAACTGATTGGACATAAGCCAGGAATGGTCCGAGCAGTCAAACTGGCAGTCTAGAATCGATTCCTTAGATGGGTTAGCCTAATGTGGTTGTCTTGCTGACGTCACGTCACGCGTGGACAGCCGGTCTGAGGCAAAACTCTCGTGTAGAGATACGATCGTGTTCGATGGACACCAAAATGTCTGGCCACTTCATTTTGGGCCATTCCAGTTTCCAGCATACTTTCTGTAAGCGGTGGCATGGCGTACGCGCAGAATACGTTGAGATTAACGTGTTTTCCACAACATTCAGAGGCTAGAGTGAGTGAGTGAATTTGGTTTTACACCGCTTTAAGCAATATTCAAGCAATATCACAGCAGGGGGACACCAGAAAAAGCATGCAAAAAGTGAGTTCAAGTTCACGTGCCACGCACGATACATGACATCAAATTTCATGCAAAGTGCTTTGCTACATTTTATTTGGGTGCTTTTCAAACTGCTACATTTTATGCAATTTTATGTTATGCAGTTATTTTTACGTTATTATCATAACTTTTTTCAAAACCCATGTGCCGCCTTTCTCACCACAATAAAGGTTTTGTCTTCTGTTCAATTTTATGTTATTACATGGAAAGACAGTTACTTTTTATTATACAGATGTATTCTCTTCTGTTATTATCATGGATCATAACCTAGGAAATATTGGCAAATTTTCAACACTATAAAATCCATGTACTGCCACGCATGGAAAGACAAATGCAACACTATAAAGATGTCTCACCACAATAACAGGTATATACAGATGTCTTCTGTTTAACTTTATTACTGGAAAGACACAAACTATAAATGTATTCTTACTGTGGAAAGACGAATTATTACATGGAAAGACAAATGTTTCAACACTATACAGATGTATTCTCTTCTGTTTAACTGCCACGAATTATTACATGGAAAGACAAATGTTTCAACACTATACAGATGTACTCTCTTCTGTTTAACTGCCACGAATTATTACATGGAAAGACAAATGTTTCAACACTATACAGATGTACTCTCTTCTGTTTAACTGCCACGAATTATTACATGGAAAGACAAATGTTTCATGTTCAAAGTATGGTGATGATCAACAGTCCACAAGATCAGCACACCTGGCATTGTCAATGAGCCATGACACAAGAGGGGGTTCACAAGTAAGTTCACATAGTCATTAGCGAGTGTTTCCATTTCGTGCTTTGATGCAGGCCTTGGCAACTTCACCTCTTTAAGACCACTAAACGTACACGTAAGTCCTGGGGAGACAAAGTCCATATTCAAGGGACGATAAAGTTCCTGTAGCATTGTAGGAGGATTTGGAGGACAAGTCACTCCATTTCATACGTTGTGTGCAGTGGGTGACCAGATGGTGGCCACATTGAATACGTCCAAACACCTAGTTGCGGGTACAGCAACGTGCAGTGAACTTGGACAAAGTACTGTGACTATGTGTCTCCAGTCCACCCAGCTGTGAATGGGTAATCGTTAGGATGAGAAAGCCACAAT